GCATATTCTCTGCCCTGAAGGATCTTATGATCTAGTTGAGGAAATGAAACAGACACAAGAAAGAGTCACATTTATGAAGTGAAATAAGTTTACATTCTGGGTAGCTAAGCAAACAGCTTAGAAAAAGCCTTCTTTCCCTGACTGCTGTCAAAATAAACTTGGTCCACCTTGTCTTGGCCCTATTCATCTTGCCTCAATCCAGAGACTGCTTGCGCAATAGTTTAAAATTTGTAAGCACAAGGGACAGCTAGGTTGCACAGTGAATAGAGCACTGGCCTTGAAGTCCTGAATTCAAATCTAGCCTTGGACACTTACCAGTTGTGTGACCCTGGGCAAATCACTTAATTCTGATTGCCTCCAAAAAAAAAGCTGCAAGCACAGAACAATGCACCTTGTTTGGGCCTTGGGGTCCCAGAGTAAAGGAGTCCGGGGGAAGGGGGACCATCAGCAAAGAAGGGCAAGAAGGATCCAGTTGACTCTGGAGTCAGAAGACCTAGGGTCATTGGCTGTGTGACTTTGGGCAAATTATTTAATATCCCTCCGCCTCAGTTTCCTCGTCTATAAAAAAAATATGATCAATATACTGCTTGCCTTTTCACTGTGGAGGAAGGGGAGAAAGGGAGAGAATCAGAAACTCAAAATTTTTTTAAAAAGGAATATTACATTAGTTGGAAAATAAATGAAATATTTTAAAATTAAAAAATGAAGGAAAAAAAAGACTGATACTGCCTGGTTGTTGGCACCATTGGTGAAAATCCAGAAGCAGGTTTTAGTCCTGCACTTGCAGTTAATCAGCTGTGTGACCTAAGTAAACCACAGCATTTCTCTGGGCCTCTGGAGCTGTGAAAATAAGGGGTTTGGACTTGATGATATCCAAAGTCCTTTATGATCTTGCCTCCTCTGCAAGGGCTGCTGGGAGCTGAGGGGTCCCCTGGTTTCATTTACAGCCGGCCAGATGGAACTGGTTCCCATCCCAGCTTATCTTCAGTGGCAGGAGGGGGAAGTGAGGAAGAAAGCTTTCTCCTAAAACAGCTCTAAATGACATAAAGAAAGCACAGAAGAGGGAGAGGGGGGAGGGAGAAAGAGGGAGAGACAGAGTGAGAGTGGAGAGGGAGAGAGAATGAGAGTGTGTGGTGGAGGGAGGGAAGGAGGGATAGAGAAACGAAGGGAGGGAGGGAGAATGAGAGTGTGGTGGAGGAAGGGAAGGGAGAGAGAGAGAAATGAAGGGAGGGAGAGACAAAGACAGCCTGGTAGAGTCATGGTACTATATATCAGATCATCATAATCACAGGATCATGGAGTTTTAGAGGTGGAACCCTAAAGGTCTAGTCCCCCATTGTATACAGAGGACCAGAGAGGCCGAGTGGCTTACCTGGGACAGAATCCACCAGATTCTGTGACACCTAGGGAGCTCTCAGATTATTCTCCTCGGTCAGGTTCTAGGGTCTGCTAGGAGCTCCTACCAGCAATAATGACTGATGTCCCTCCCACCCAGTATCACAGCAACAGAAGGAACTTTAAGAGCTCATCTGACCTCAATTTTCCAGGCCCAGGGGGCTGATGTAATCCTGAGCATTCTCAGAGTCTGAGCTCCTAGCAGCCTCTTCCCACGAAGCTCAGGTGCCCTTGCCTCCTGATGGCGCACCCCAGCTCAGCTGGTCATCCTCCTGCTTCCTTCCACCTCTCCCTGGCTTCCCGACAGGCCGGCTCCCTTCGCCTTCACCCTAAGGGGTGGTCAGGATTGGCGTACTTCATGGTTCTCTGCTTGGGAGCCCTCAGTACTTCTCCTCACATTCCAAGGAAGAGGAGGCAGGGAGGGAGTACCCGAAGATGATTTTCTCATGTGATTCTGAAAATAACTAAAGACAATGACGGAATCAACGGTCCACAGCAATGGCAGCATCAGAGGAATGGGTGCACAGACCTCCAAGCGGACTACTCGGACAGTTTGGGGCCATCAAGCAATGAGAACGTGGGTGTTTTTCTGTTTTAAACAAAACAGCCTCACCTTATGTCACAACCCTTTTGTAGTACCTTTTCCTTCTTGGGTAGGTTGGCTAGCTCAAGCAAAAATCACAGGCCAACGGATGACTTGGATATGAAAAACACCTTGAAGTTTCAAGAATTCCAACCCCAGCCCCAAGCAGCCTGGCCAGGGCAGAGAGAGGCTGATTTGGAGCCAGAAAGCATGGATTCCAGTTCCAGCTTTCCCACCTGGAGAGAGCCATTTAACAACATTGAACCTCAGCTTCCTGATCTATAAAGGACTTGATTAATTAATTAACACTTGAACAACCTTTTGTGAGGATCCAGAGATACCAGATGTAAAAATGCATTCGAATCACATGGTACCCTCTGTAAACGTCAGCTAAAAGGAGTGCTGGGAGGTTGGGGAGAGATTCGATTCTCAGAAAGCCCTCTTCCCTCACCTGCCCACCCCTCTGGGGCTGCCTTATGTTGCCTGTCCAGCTTTCCCTTGGCTTTGAGATTGATGGGGTACCAGATCGAAATGTGAAACAGGGCTGGGTCCTGAAGGGCTTTGCACAGGCTGAAACCTATCAGAAATTCCCTCAAGCAGTTCTGGACCTGAGGGTGCTATGTTGGGGGTGAAAGAGGCCTGACACGCTCCTTAGAGAAGCTTGAGGGCTGTCCACACCCCCCTCCCAATGATTCGCCTGGGCACTCGCGGTTGGAGGCAGGGCACCAGATGCTGCTGGTGCATCCTAGGAACCACCATTCAGGGGATGCCCTAGGTCAGCGCTTCCACGTGAGGTTTCGACCCACAGTTTAAGAAGGACTGAAAGGGTCAAGAGAGGAAAAAGTTTGAGAAGCCCTTCCCTAGGTGATGCCAACTAGATGCCAACCAGAGAGACTTGAAGGGTGATCTGGTCCAATCCCCTCATCTTACAGAGGAGGAAACTGAGGCACAGAGCAGAGAACGAATTTACCCAAAGCCGGAGAGTTTTAAGTAGTGCCAACTAGAGTTTGGGCCCAGTGCTCTTATAATTATATTGAGGCTATAGAAGGCCCCAAGCTCACCTGAGACCAATGAGCATTTCATCTTTTTTAATTACAAATTTTTTCTTAATTAAATATTAAAAATGTTAACATTTTAAAAAAATTTTCCATTCCAAATTTTCTTCTTCCCTCCCCCTTCCCTGCGAAGTTAATTTGTCAGATTATACACATGTGCAGTCACGCAAAACATTTCCATATTAGCCATGTTGCAAAAGAAAAACAGACCATTAAAAAAAAATCAAGTAAAAAAAGTATGCTTCAATCAGCATTCAGACGCCATTAGTTCTTTCTCTGGAGGGGGATAGCACTTTTTTTTTTTATCATGAGAACTGTCTTAGATCACTGTATGGCTGAAAATAGCTGAGTCATTCTACAGGTGATCATCATGCAATGTTGCTGTTACTGCGCACAAAATTCTCCTGGCTCTGCTCATTTCACTTTGTTCTTGCCTTTCCAGGTTAATCCTGCTGGTCATTTCTTAGAACGCAATATTCTATCATAGTCATATACCACAACTTGTTCACCCATTGCCCAACTGATGGGGACTGTTTCCCGTTCCCAATTCTTTGCCACCACAAAAAGAGCTGCTATAAATATTTTTGTACACATAGCCCCTTTTCCTTTTTCTCTGATCTTTTTGGAATACAGATCTAGCAGTGGTATTGCTGAGTCAAAAGGTATGCAGTATGGTTGCCCTTTGGGCACAGTTCCAAGCTGTTCTCCAGAACGGTTGGACCAGTTCACAGCTCAACAGTGAGTGCATTACTGTCCCAATTTTCCCATATCCTGTCCAATGTTTATTTTCCTTTTCTGCCATATTAGCTAATTTAATAGGTGGGAGGTGATATCTCACTTACTTTGCGTTTCTCTAACCCACAGTGATTTAGAGCATTTTTCATGACTACCGAGAACACCGATTTCTTCTTCTGAAAACTGCCTGTTCATGTCCTTTGACCATTTATCAATCTGGGAATGACTCATTGTTACAAAAGAAACTTACTTTAAAAAACTTCTCCTCAGTTGTCTGCATTTGGTTTTGTGTAAACCCTTTTGAATTTAATAAACCAAAATTATCGATTCTGTGTCCCATAATGCTTCACTTATCAGTCACAAATTCTTCCCTTATCCATAGATCTGACAAGTACAATTTTCCAAGCTCCCTTAATTTGCTTATCTCACTGTATGTCTAAATCATGTATCCATTTTGACCACATCTTGGTATATGGTATGAGATGTTGGTCTGTATCTAGTTTTTGCCAAACTGCTTTCCAGTTTTCCCATCAATTACTGATAGGCATTTTCTTGCACATCTGTAACCTCTACTCCCCCAGTCATAAAGCTCTCCCTGACCTGGTGCCATCTTACTTATGACAGAGGACACACTAAGCCTTAGCATGATCCTGCTGCTCATACTAGCCGGGCTGTGAAGGTGGAGCAAGTCACAGGCATTTCATAGGGGTCAGGGAGGGGCCACTGGGATCTCAGTGGTCCAGTAAGATCCTTCATCATATTTCACTATACTGCACACCACCCTTCCATCTCAATTTTAAAGTTTTTCTTGTTATTCCCCAGTCAAAGTCAGGGTTACATCATCTTTATTTACCCTGACCGCTTGTGTGAAGGAGGTAAGAGCCAACTCACCCTGAAAACTTCCCAAGGGTCCTTCCAAGTGCTTCAGTCCTCTAGTTAAGGTTAGCTCTTAAGGAGTAATCCCTTTGTTTAAAAAATCAGGGATTCTAAAGTTTTTGTGTTGTGGCCCCCGTGCTGGTGAACTACAGGTATCAAAAAATAAATCCATTATATGCTCTTTGAGCTACAACAGGTTTTTACATTTTAAAATATAAACTTTAAAGTTTAGCCATTCTTAGCTCGTTGACCATACAAAAGCAAGCTGTGGACACTGGGCCACAGTGTGCCAACCACTGCTTTATGCCATTGCTTTCAGTGGCCATCAGTGTTAAAGGGATGTATACATATGGGTATGAGATGAAAACATCTAAGCTTTTATTCAAAGAATAAATCATTAACTTTGATTGGCCCCAATAAGGTCTCATCACAAACAATGCCAATGCATGAACTGTGAAATGGTCCATCTAGGCTGGATATTGATACAGAATTACAGCAAACTAAATTGTCCATATCCCTTGATACAACAGAAGTGAAAGACAGAAACAAGAATCCAATAAATGCCAAAATATTCATAGCAGCCTGTTTCCAGATCTCTGTTGCCACAAAAGTGGATAACCATCGATTGGCGAATGGTGGAAAAACTAGAGTGTATGAATGGATTATCGTGCGGTGAGAAATGACAATTCAGAAAAACATTTGTCTGAACTGACTGCAAAATGATGGAAGAATGAAGGGAATACACACGACAACATTGTGAATGACAAGATCACTAACAGGAAGTCAAAGTAACTGAAGTCCCAAATCGAGTCCCTGACAATAGATAATGCGTAGAGGAGACTGCTCATGGCTGAGGCAGAGTATCACAGATTATCAGGTGTTCTTGCTTCTTTCTTCTTGTCACTGGCAAGGGCTCATTCAAGCAGAAAGTTGTTTGTTTGTATGTTTTTTTTAAATCACCACGATCTGGCAAATGACTCCTCAACAGTTCTGACAGTGGAAATGAGAACATTTGAGGGCCAGTGCACTGTGCAAATGAAAAAGGAAGAGCTTCAGGCTAACAGATGGATTGGGAGTGTGACCTGGAAGCTTACCTGGCTAGGCAGTAGCTGAGAAGTGCAGGGTTCCAGTTTATTAGGAGCAGTGCCTGTGAGGCCAAGAGAAAAGTCCCTTTCTGTGGTCACTTAAAGGCCTTTCCCAGCCACCATGGTCCTCAAATCACAATCTCTGCATTGTTGACACGGCTGCTTTTCTCATCTAACCACAGTCGGTCTCTGGCCGACAGGCTCACCCACTCCCCACCACACCCTTCTCCAGATCTGCACCCCCCCAAGTCTGTGAACACCTTACACCCCTGCAGGCCCACCTGTCTCTGCTTGCTCCTCACTTTCCACTTGCTCCCATGGTTTTTCTGCCAGGGTCTAGGCAGCTCCTCTCTTGTTTTCTGACTATAGAGGCATTATCTGATGAGACAGTTTGAGAACACAACTCTCTACCAGGTCCTGGGCACTCCGCCAACGTGCAGCTGGGCTGACTGGTTTGTTTCCAAGGTGGAGCTGATGGTTAAAGGTGAGAACCATGGAGATCAGATTTCACTCAGTACATACCTCACGATACAAATGGAGACTTCTCCCACCAGACAAGTGTAGATCCAGCGTAACCTGTAAGCATGTTACGGTTCAAGTCTGCCTGGCAGGCATGGGCAGATGAAGGAGGGCCCAGATGGGTTTAGCTTTGGCTATGCTTAGGACTTTGCTTGGCGAATGAGGTAGCCTCGGACCTATTACTGGCCGGCACACCACCTCCCACCTGCAAATCCGGAGCCAGGCCACGTTACGTCCCTTCTGACAGGTCCTAATCTTCCTTCTCATCCTTATTTAAGATCTTAACACCAGGCAAGCCCTCAAGTTGTTCAGGTTTGGATATAGCTCAGCTGTCACATAGCAGATCCCCAAAGGCTCCATCCTTTAATGATGTCATGTGAATCCAATAACCCCAGAAATAGAAGGGCCAGAGAGTGAGTTGGAGTGGACCTCTGAGGTCATCTAGTCCCAGCAGCAAAGGACCAAGAATGTCCTCTTCAAGTGATTGTTTCACCTTGCCCACTGTCCCAGGCTCTGCCCTCTAGGGTCAAGAACATGAGCTCTGCACCTCTGGTGGCAGCTTCTCCGACATCAACCCAAACTTAGGGTAAACAATGGGGCAGCCACAGTTCCAACTTGAATCTCAACTTGTGGAGGAATGCTTCTTTTGGAAGAACGTCAAAAAGAAACTATCTGCAGAACCACAGCTCTGAGGAAAAACCGCAAGAGACTGATTTTGATCCTCTCTTGGTGTACTTAGATGACTGATGTACTGGAGGAACAGAACAGGGCAAACAGAGAGGAGAATATTTTCAGATACCGGGATAAGAAAGCTTCGGTTTCCTGATATCACTGGGAGACCATTAAATTGCTTGCTTTCGCTGAGTCAGTCCCACATGGAACAGGGACAAGACCCTTAGCACTATCCAGAACTTCCTTTAAGAGGACAGGATGCATGAGTAATGGAAAGATTTGGGGCTGAATCACAACTCCTGCTTTGGCTGCTGGACAACTGTTCCCTCAACCAAATCCACTGAGCTAGCTGGAATATTCATATAGAAAAATTCCCAACAGCTGTTAGCACGAGTTGAAAACAGATCTACAATCTATAGTCTTATGAATGAATGAATGAATGGATGTGTAGTTGGCCTTGCACCTGTGGCAAAGATGCTACCTTCTACAAACCCGAAATGGCCTCGGGTGAAGGAATGGCATTGCTGAAGCAGGATCCCTTTAGCCTTCAGACCTTATTTCAATTTTCCCAGACAGCTATCCTGTTTCTAGTGATGGCAGCAGTGCAGACTGATGTAGCACTGTTTATGCTTTAGGCTGAAGTCATCAACTTAAAATAATTCATACAAACTAAATTCTCAAGCGAGGAAATGGTCTCCCCAAGGAGAGGAAGGGAAATGATGGGGTGGTACTTCAAGCTCCTTAGGTCAACACAGAGGCAATGTGTTCTCTCCCTTCCTACGTAACTAATAAACAAATAAGGGGGAATGCCCCCGCTGACAGTGGGAAAAATGAAATGAGGACTTGGGGTCAAATCTTTAGTTAGGAAAGAGGTTGGAGAGACAGAAGTGCTCCAGTATCCAAGCTCAAACAGAGGTGGGTAACAAGGAAGCTAGAGAAAGAAAATTCGTCTCTGCTTTCCTTCCTACGTATAAATACTGTTGGTCATCAGGAGAAATCACAGACTAAGGAGGATGGAAGGCGGAAGGTAGGTTAAAACACAAGGCAATAACAACACTGGTTCTTTTGAGATGTGAAGCTGCGGCAGACTCACTTAATCCCGCAATCAAGACAGCCTGTCAGCAGAGGTCTGGGCAGCAGCCACATAATATTGTATGCCTTGGAGGGCAATGCCGGAGTGGGTACCATCACCATTTTACTGAATCAGAAAAAGTGAACTCTCTCCTTGAAGTCCCAAGCCATGGGCTGAGAAGTGCTGAGGGACACTGGATGATGTGGGTGGGGCAGGGTGTTTAGGCTGGCACTTTGGTGCCAATCCTTACTGCCATGAAAGAATGGAGGTGACGCCAAAAGGCCATCAGCAAATTCCCAGTCCCCACAGGCCGCCTTCTACATCTATTTCTTAAAGGCCATTTCCCATCACACCTGGAAACTATTGAATCCAATGGAAACGGCATGGCTGCTGATGACTGGTTCTTGTTTTGAGAAGGCTTATGTTCCTTTTAACAGGGGCCCCTTTGTTTTTTGGTTCAAAGTCAGTTATGTGACTTGGCCTGGAAGGTGAAAGAAGTAATGTGACTTCCAGAACTTGGCACTACCCTGACAGCCAATGGCACTGGCTTCCTTGTGAGCACTGGGATCTGAAACCACCTTGGAGTGAGTGTTTGTGAGAAATCTCCTTCAAGGAGAGCCAGCCACTGTTTTCTCAAAAAGCAACCCACTGATGGAAGTAATGTAAAATATCTATGGCGCCAAGGCAGCAGGTTTTGTTTCACCAAATAATAAAGAAGGAAATTAGGCTGGGAAAAAAGACAAGAAATCCACCTAACTTACTAGGTAACTTGAACTCAAGCCAATTAGAAGAAGTCAAGTGTTACCTGCCCGATCTGCCTTACAATGATAATTATATGTCATAAACCTCCACTCAATTTGTATTCTGAATCTGAGAGCTACGAAGTAATTTGTGGCCCATGTCAGATAAGAATGGCAGGAAAGTAGGGAAAAATCTAGAAGGGAACAAAATTGGAAAGACCGCTAAAGTCCAATTAAGTACCAAAAAAGAAAAAAAAACAATTATTTCCAAATCTTGCCACCTAGATCTTGCTGACGGGTGAAATAAATCTCCCTTGTAGATTCTAGCCTTAAGCCACAAGGAAGAAAATAAGAGAGCACTTGTAAAAAGAATGAGCTTGTATTTCTTCTGATCCAGAGTGGTACAATTCATGGTATTTGCACTATATGAGCAGTCCCACTTTCAGCTCTCCCCAACAGCCCCCATTCACCACCTTCTAAGGTCAACATTGTACAAAACTATATTTACAAGAAAACCAGTTAAAAATGAGGGGTGTGTACAAAAAAGAAGGGTGTGGTGGGGAGGGAAAAGCAATTCAAGCAGGGAATATGCCTGGGACAGAGGGGACATCCCAGGCTGGGCCAGGGCCATGCATCACTGCAAAGAGTGCATGGAATCATCTCTCAGTTTAAATGTTTCAAGATCTTAATAACTGCCCCTTCCTCCTGTCCCATGGGATCAAAGCAAAGTGATCACAAAGAAAAAAAGGAGGGAAGAGGGGGTAAACAACAACCTGTATGTCCTCAGAACTCTCTTTAGAACACAGTCTTTGACATGCCCACTGTTGGGCTCAGAAAGCATAGCGGGTACGGATGTCTTCTAGCTTCTTTGAGACCTCAGGTGGTGTCCTGTCCAATTCTTCTGATACATTTTTCTGTTTGTTGGGCTCCATTGAGTTGAACTGTTCACAAAGGTCCCCATCAATCACATTCTAAGAAAGGAGGAAGAGAATATCAGCACCCTAATGCTGAATTTGATACTGAATTTGAACAATTACTACGAGCAAATGAAGACACAGTGAAAAATTAAGAAAAGCCTTCTCTCTCATGGAACCTTTAATACAAGATAGAGGACCTGGGTTTAAATTCCACTTCTGACGCTTACTACTTGTGTGTTGACATTTAACCTTCCTAGGCCTCCCTCAGCTTCCTCCCTTGTAAAATCAGGAGATGGGATTAAATGGTCTTTCGGGGTTGTTTCCAGCTCCGGAGGTGTGACTGTAAGATCACACGACTAGGGCCAGGGCCTTAAGTTAGCCCTTAATGCCTAGGTAAGTGCTTCCTAAAAATGGATATGGGATCTGAAAGAACTGTTTCTGGGCATGGGGCAGAGAAGAGGTGAAAAAGAAGCTGAAGACTCTTGAATTTTGGCCAGAAAAAAAGGATAAGGCAGCTACTGGTTATGCCCCTCCTGAACACAGGACTGTATTAATCAATTCCCCTGAGGGAGCAGAGGTTGTAAACGCATACAGCTGCAGACTACCACACTCAGAGCAGGGCTATCTCTAGCCACATCTGCCTTTGTCAATTCAATCATTCAAAATTATTTTGATTCTTAATGGAGGGAGCATTCAGTAGGAAGAAATCAAGTTGTTTTGGTGATAAAGAGGGCCCAGGTCAAGTAGAATTAGAAGAAAGGGTGGGAAAGAGGGAGTTCCATTTCAGTGCAGACCCACCTTCACAGGGAAGTAGTAGGAACGGAAGCTGAGGTGGTCCCTTCCGCAGAGAGGAGGATGCTCAGACCGCAGGTGCATCTCCACATGCTGGAAGAAGTCATGATCCTGAGAAAGAAACAAAAACTAGAAAAATGAATCCCATGATGTGGCTTCCTAGATTGGAGATGCTGAGAAAACATCTAAATGAATCCCTGATTTCTCTGTCCTCATCTCTTAGACTACAGAATACATGTGCTCTGGCTTCAAAGAGCAACATGCTTCTGTTGGGTTTTCCAAGGCTTGCTTTCTTTCTATTACCTCAGGGCAGGGGCAGTAATATCCATTGAGGGGCTAGAGCTCATCAAGAGGCAGGCATGCTGTGACCGGGGAGGCCTCTGGCTCCAATTCGCACATAAACTAAGGTCTTGGCCTCAAGCTGTTCTTACAAACAGAGCAGCACAAACTCAGTTGACTAATGCTCTCTCTTAATGTGCGGGGCTAGGGTTTAGGTGTGATGACTTTTTTTACCTTAGGGGAAGACTTAATGGGGTTCAAACTGAAGAGAAACCTGCACCCACACCAGAGCACACCCTTAACCCTTCAAATATCCAGTTCAGAAGAGCTTCCAGGACCCTCCCTGCCAGACTGTCTCACCCACCCAACTTTTAACACTCCATCGAATAGACTATGGCTGCTCCCTTTGTCTTCCTGAAATGAGGCATGGGGCCTGATAACTGCTAAGTGGGAAAGAATTTTCTGGACTTGCTTTTCTAGACAGTGGCTCCCTGCAGACTCAGGAAATTACTCCATCAAGGAAGAATGTACTCTCACCTCATGGGATGTGAAAGGCACAAGGATCCCAATCCCGCCTGACAAGGTAGTGTAGACAAGAGATTCTGAGCCTCCTGGGATCAGTGTGGTCTTCTGTAAGGAAAGTACTGTCTCCCCCACATGATAATTCATGATTACTTCTGCCTGCAAACAGAATCACACCAATTTGTGTCCTCTTAGTACAGTCTGCTCTGGCTTACCAAGAAAGTCTCAAATCCCAAGAGGGTGAGGTTGGCTTTACTCTTCAAGTGATGGGCTCTTCTCAATGAATTTAAAGAATGGGGAAAAAAATGTTTGAAGTAATTATATTAGCTAAAACCCTGACATTCCAAATCCATAAGAAATTGATGCAGATCTTCGAGATTAACAATACATCCTCTGCAATGGTCAAACTGCAAGAAAAATAATTTACAGAAAAAATAAGTTACCAATAACCACATGAAAAGATGCTCCAATTCCCCTAATCATCAGAAAAATGCAATTCAAGAAAGCCTTAAGCCATCCCTGGCTGTGAGGAAACAGGCTTCTTAATATGCTTTTGGTTAGACTGGCCACAGAAACAGAACTGTATAGACACTGACTGCAACTAGGTATACATACTTTTAAGAAAGAAAAAAAAGTAGGCAGGGAAAACAGCCAGAGACGAAAGCGGCAGAATTTCAGGTAAGCATGTAAGAGGATCCAGGAAGGGGAAGGTTGCACAGCCAGACTCAAGGCTGACTCAGACCTGGATTTGAGCTCTACCTCAGAAACACACTGGCTGTGTGGCCTTAAGCAACTGCTTAACCTCTTAGAGCCCCACACAACTTGCCAAAACTCCAAGATGCAAGACAGCTGCCTAGCTGAATCACAGAAGAATCATTCCTGGGAATTCCCTACACCAGTGAAACCACAGCTCTGGACAAAAAAGGCCAGTGTGCTATGATGCAAGAGAGAAGGAAATGAAGGCCAACATGAGGCGCCCTGAAGGATCCTTTAAGAAAACTACATCCCTCCCTTCCCCACATTTAGATCCCCCCCCCTTGCCCGGGAACTCAGTGCGACTTACAGACGTTAATTCATCAATCCCTGTACCAAAATCTACAGACAGTAAAAAAAAGCGCAGAGGGGGAAGGAAGCCCAGGGCTCAAATATCAAGGTCTGTGCTCTCAGGCATGAGTGTGTCTGTAAAGTTAAGGCACTATGTAAAGTCCGTGGCTCTAATGGAGTTGGGAGCAGGCGTGTGCAGACAGCTCCTAAGGTTTTTCTACCAGAGGAAAGGACTAGACCCTGGACCTGCCAGACTGATCATGGCCCCGGAGGCCCAGAAACATTACCTTTTGTGAGGCACCATTGAGAAGTCCCCGGTCCCACAGGGCCTTGTTTCCTGTCGGGTCTTCATCCACTTCAT